TTTGGCAATTTATTGTTGTTTTTGTTGTGAGAGGTAAATTTGTTTGGATATCAGAAACCATCACAATATATTTTATCACAATATCTTAGATAAAAGAAACCATCACAATATATTTTTGTTGTAAGATATTTTTATCACAATATCTTAGATATTCATGGAATCTATTATTTGTATACAATAATCCTTCAATAATACTATCAGATAATGCCTAGGCGTAGTACTGTGCATATGTTCAAGTACCAGAAAATTCAACCGTGAGCCTCTTGTTTTGCCTCTACATCTTGCAGCCACTGTCTTCTAACTTCTAAGGCTCTTACAAAGTTAGAAAATGGAAGAATAAGAGATGGTGATTTATATTTCTATATGAAAAAATATAGAAATAATGCCTTCGCCTTTTCTAATAGTATCTTTATAACAAAAACAAATTCTTTGTATACATTATTTATGCTATTTTAAAAAATATATATTCTCATCGATATAGGATAAACGCGCAATGCGCGTGTACAGAAACTAGTATAATATATTTGTAGTAGGTGCTAGTTTAAATATGTATTCTCTGTTTGCTAAATCCAAATGCTAGTGTAGTAACCTGTGAGCAACTTAAATGGGCCAAGTATTTCCTTATCTTCCCTCCTAGATTTTTTTCACCTCTAAATTTGGAGTTGTGCAATATTTGTGAGCTTATCATGCTTTAGTCTCTTCATTCATTGTACCCATGTGTTTCATGTAAATTAAATGTATTGATATGCCCCTACCTAAGAAATTTATGTCCTTTATGTTGGTAGTGTTAATAGCAAAATTAGAACATGTAAAAATTGATTGTGAAATTGGGTATTTTTTTACTGTTTCAGTGATTTCTCTGTTTGAAGATACTGATTTTATTTTCAAAACCTAATGCGTTAAGTATTTTGGATTTTCTTCTTAGAATTACATGTTTGTCAAATATACAGAGCTTTTTTATGATATGGGTTACCAAAAAATATTCTCAATTATGAAGAGTATTAGAAATTTAACATATTTATTTATCGTTTATTGTAAGGATATTAAGGCTGTTACTTGGATTATAGGTCATTGGTAAAATAATCTTTGAAATAGATTGACTAATATTCCTTGGTAAAGGTGATTAATATATTTTTGTTCGCTTATGATCATTTTTTGCTCCTTTTGTATTGCTATACTAATATGTTTTGGCTGAATATATATGTATATAAATCTTGTGCATGCACCAGATTATGGCACTTGATAAACAATGGATGAAACTTATTCATGATCGACTTGATGATGCTTACATCCTTGGGTTGGAGAACTTTTTGGATTATGGTTTTACAAGATTGAAAGAAATACGTGAGATACGTTGTCCATGCATCAAATGTTGTAATGTAATTTCAGGAACACGTGAGTTGGTTAAATCACATTTGATAGTACATGGAATAATCCAAAACTATACCTTTTGGTATCACCATGGGGAGAGGTTAGGTGAGCCATCGTCAGATTTTGAATTTGTAGATGATAATAACGATGAAGAGGATGATGGTGAGGATGAAATACATGAAATTTTAAGAGATTTATACCCCGCTTTTGATGGAGATAATATGAACAATGATGGTGATGGTTTATTTGCGGAGGAACCAAATCTTGAAGCAAAAGGATTCTACAGGATCTTAAAGGATTTTGAGCAACCACTGTATCAAGATTCAAAAATTTCCAAACTTTCTACATTGGTAAAGCTGCTTCATATTAAAAGTATTGGTAATTGGAGTAATGCATCATTTACAATGTTACTAAAGATGTTGAAGGAAGATTTATTGCCTGATGGATCAAACTTGCCAGATTCATATTACGAAGCAAAGAAGGCAATTCGGGACCTTGGGCTTTCTTACAAGAAGATTGATGCGTGTATGAATGATTGTATGTTATACTGGAAGGATGATAAGTCTCTTGAATCATGCAAAGTTTATGGTGCATCTAGATGGAAGGAGGATAAACGTAGTGGTGAAACCAAATTTAAAAGTGGGAAAAAGTTACCATGCAAGATTTTACGTTATTTTCCTTTAAAGCCAAGACTACAAAGATTGTTTATGTGCTCAAAAACATCTTCTTTGATGAGATGGCATCATGACAAAAAAGTTAATGATGGAATAATGAGGCACCCAGCTGATTCTATAGCGTGGAAAACGTTTGATGAACTTCATCAATCTTTTGCATCTGAGCCTCGTAATGTTCGACTTGGACTTGCTAGTGATGGTTTTCAACCATTTGAAAATTCCAAAATTTCCTATACTATTTGGCCTGTGGTACTTATTCCTTATAATTTACCACCTTGGCTATGCATGAAGAAAGAGAATTTTATCTTGTCGATGATTATTCCTGGTCCTGAGAGTCCTGGAGATGCTATTGATGTTTATCTCCGGCCTTTGATAGAAGAATTAAAAGAATTGTGGGAATCTGGAGTGGAGACCTTTGATGCATCAACTAAACAAAACTTTAAGTTACATGCTTCTTTGTTATGGACCATTAATGACTTTCCAGCATATGCAAATTTGTCTGGAAGGAGTACAAAAGGAAAATTGGCGTGTCCATGTTGCAATAAAGAAACTTACTCAATCAGATTACAAAATTGTAAAAAATAGTGTTATATGGGCCATAGACGTTTTCTTCCTCTTAATCACAAATGGAGGAATGATAAAGCGTCATTTGATGGTACTAAGGAGCGAAGATTACCACCAAAACAGTTATCCGGTGATGATATACTTGATCAAGTGGCTGATTTAGATGGGTTACAATTAACAAAGGATCCAAAGAAGAAGATTAAAATATCACATGAGAGTAGGGGTGATAATTGGAATAAAAAGAGCATTTTGTTTGATCTTCCATATTGGAAAACTCTTTTATTGCGACATAACTTAGACATAATGCACATTGAGAAAAGCATCTGTGATAATATTTTGGGGACAATCTTAAATATCAAAGGAAAAACCAAAGATACCATAAACACTCGGTTGGATTTGCAAGCAATGAACATAAGGAAAGAACTGCACCCAATAAAAATTGGGGATAAATATGACTTACCAAAAGCATGTTACACATTATCTCCTGAAGAGAAGCACATGTTTTTTAGTTTCTTGAAGAACCTAAAGGTCCCAAATGGATTTTCATCAAATATTTCTCAGTGTGTCAACCTTAAAGATCGAAAAGTTTCAGGTTTAAAAAGTCATGATTGTCATGTTCTTCTACAACATTTGCTTCCACTTGCTCTACGGGGTATACTATGCAAATCTGTGTATGAACTGCTTATTGAGTTATCTTTATTTTTTAATGTGCTTGGATCGAAATGTTTAAGCATGGATGAATTAGAGAAGATAGATTCTCAAATCCCTATAACTGAGTGCAAGCTAGAAAAGGTCTTCCCTCCTACCTTTTTTGATGTCATGGAGCACTTGCCAATTCATTTAGCTAATGAAGCTAAGATTGCTGGACCTTCTCAATATCGATAGATGTATCCTATGGAGCGATATATATACTTTATGAAGCCTTTTATTCATAATAGGACTTACGCAGAAGGTTCTATTGCAGAGGGATATTTAGCAACTGAATGTATGACCTTATGTTCAAGGTATTTACATACAATGAAAACAAAGTTTAATCGCCTTGAACGGAATTATGATGGTGGTGTTATAGAATCTGATGGAGGTTTAACAATTTTTTGTCAACCTGGAAGAGCTTTAAGAGGTGGCAAACCACACAAACTTGGTTCAAAAAAACTGGAGCAAGCACATTTTTATATTTTGAAGAATTGTGATGAAATTCAACCATTTCTCGAGTAAGTAATAACTTATTTCAATAATTTTCTTTTATATACATCCTCTATTTTTTCATTTAAAATTACATGTAGTTATGCTCCAACTATTTGTAGAGAGTTTTCACTAACTCTAGTTGACACCTCTCAAGAAAATTCGGATAGGCAATTTATTAGTTGGTTAAAAGAAAAGGTGAGTACCAACTAACATTAATATTTTTCAAACAAAGTATGTAAATATTATTTTCTAAAATATTTGTTTGATCTTGATAGATTGCAGGATTGCACAAAAGTGATGATAGTAAGAAAATGATAGATTTGCTCTCGTTGTCACGTAGTCCCACGACATATGTGACAAGTCATCGTGGCTACCTTATTAATGGATATAGGTTTCACGTGCAAGATTATGATAAAGGTTTGAGAACTCAGAATTGCGGAGTGGTTGTAGTTGGAGAGATAGATGAAGCTAATAAGACCATTGATTACTAAGGAGAACTAACAGATATTCTAAAATTATAATTTATTGGTGGAGGAAGAATAGTTTTATTTAAATGTATGTGGTTTGATGTATATGACCAAGAAAAGGGAGTTAAGATAGATGAATATGGCTTTGTAAGTGTTAACAGCCAGCGTTTTCTGAAAACAACTGAGCCTTTTGTATTAGCCAACCAAGCATCACAAGTTTTTTATGTTGATGATCTTTCTAATAAAGGTTGGCATGTTGTACGAAAAGTTCAACCTCGTGATACTTTTGATGTTCTACAAGAAAATATTAATGATCTAGAGGATTCAGATAATTCTTCACTGAAAAGGAAAAGAACTCATGAAGGTTTGGATACTTATCAACTCTTTATTTAATTTGTCAACTCATTATGATAATGATAGTTTCATACTGGACTCCATTTGATTTACTAGTTCAGAAAATGTTTCTAACACTCTACTAGACTGATTACATGTTCTTATATGATGAATCTGATGTCCTAAATTTTTGTTATCTCTAAGTTTTTCTGTCATATACTCATATATGATGAACTGAAATGATAGACATCTATTACTCAGTTTTTTAATTGTACTAGGTTGACATGAATACATCAAAATCTCAAACATCTAAAATGGAATCAACTTCCAAGACTGTGAAGCCTGTGTATGTTCCACCCGGTATCTTAGCAAGGGGACGAGGGAAAAGCTTTAGGGCATTGGGATCTATAAGAGTAAATGCTGAACAAAGAGGTTCGATTGGCAAAAGTAAAACTTTTAGTATATTAGCTTCTGATCAGAGTAAGCTAACTCATAGTGATAGTTTTGCGCCTCCCGGTTTTGAACCAATATTGGAAGATGATGGTCCCCTTCCTCATGAGGAAGAAGTGATGCAAGACACTCAGAGAAATGAAATAAGTATCTTACTGTCCCAAGCTATAATATTTTTATTTGTTATTGTACAAAAACTCCTTTATATTTGGATTAAATTGAAATTTGCAGGGCCATGTGAATCTGGAAAGGTAAAAAAAGTGAGAGGAGCGAATAGGTGTAAAAAAGTTGCAGGACTCAAAGTTGGAGAAAAGTTGAGCGTTACTTTTTAACACAATCGGGTTGTTGGAAAGAATCATGCCTCATTTACGAGACACTTGGGTATATTGATTCGTGATCGTAATATGTGTCTATTGCGTGTACACTCATGGGCGGACATCGAAGAATATAAGCTACAACACATGTGGGAAGCTGTCCCTGTAAGGATTTAAAGCATTACTTTATTAATTTTTCTTCTTTTACAAATGAAAAGGAAATACTTGTGAGCTTACATCATTGCATTTAATGGTTGGTTAATTACAAAAACAAAATTGAGTTTTCGAAGTTCTTTCCAAATGATATTTTTGGGTAATTTGGTGTCAGATGAGATCTCACATTGTTTGAAGGCAATCTTTTTTGTGTCTATGTAATACAAGGTGAATGTTACACCCTATATTTTCGTACGTAAAAATGCGTCGTAAGCAAACTAATGTAGGACCAAAAATGAGATAATATTTAAAAGTATATAAAGTAAGTTAATCATGTTACCTCTGAGGTTACAAATATTGAAGAAAATAATGTTTCGTCGAAAGTCGACAAGTTGGGAATGTTATAACATATACCTTTGGGGTGAGACTAGGGTGCTTAACATGATAAGGAGATTATGTTATGATTTATATTAGTCGTATGACATCCGTGTGTTATGTTTTGAAGTCAAGAGAGTTGTGGAACAAAAGTCGATGAAAGTCATCACAAGTTACATTCATAAGTTTTACTGAAACTTTGGGTCAAATGTAACTGCGATTTTCTCCCAATATACTTAGAGTTATGGGTGTTCCACCCATCAAATTAAGGATCTATGAGTCTATTTTCCAATGCATTAAACCGTTTGTCAATACGACATCGGAGTAATGAGATATGGGCATTTTTGCG